ATGCCAGCCTATGGTCTTGATTGGCTGCCTGTGAACAGCACCTGCTTTGCTCCGCCCTCAAACACTACAGTTGCAGCTGATAGAGCCCGACCGATAAAGGATTTTGAAGGCCGATACCGATACAAATATTTTTGGGTTTTAAAATCCGATATATCGGCCGATATTTTATTTATTTATTTTTTAAACCGGAGATGATTAGTCACAAATTTTGTTGCTTATTTGAGTTAAGAGAACTGACGGGGATGTTCTTTGAATTGTTATTCAAGCAATGACCAACTCAACGAGTGTTGCCAACAGGGACGGTGTAGAGCGCCCTCTGGTGGACAAACTATACAACTCCAACACTCGTGACATGGTTCAAGCGCGTTTGGTTTCATCTGTTTTTATTTAATTTTTGGAATATTCATTTATCGGCCATTATAACTGCCGATACCGATAGTTTGGAAAATGCCTAATATCGGCCGATAATATCGGTCTGGCTCTAGTAGCGGAGTTTAGTTTGTGTTGTTCGTGTCGAGAACATGATTTTTTTGCGAATCCTCATTGCATGCATTTCACAAGATGAGGACTCGTGCTGAAAATGATTCGGAAAAAAGGTTTGTATCGGATTCAGATATGCTAATTAATAGCTGTTTGGTTTCCGACATGCGCTGTAAGCGGTCGACCAATCACAACAGACAGTTTGACCAATCAGAGCAGAGTAGCTCAAGGAGAGGAGGGGCTTGGAGAAACTGAATCTTTGAATGAACCGTTTCAGACTCAGATGCTGCGATGTGTATTATAAGAAAATTTGATCTTTTTTTGAGCGTTTAAAATAAAATTAGTAGCCTTAAAATAGCATAATATGGGACACTTCAAATTTGCACACTCAAATGTACCTGGTTGAATATATCCTCTCTTACGGCCTCACAATCAACCTTATGTTTACAGACGAGACAGGAAGCAGTCGCAAAAGAACCTAAAACAAACAGTAAAAGACAAAAGATCAATAAATAGACTAGATTAGGACAGAATCATATATATAAAGGGATGATGACAGCAGATATATACCATGACACTGAATGATCTTCTGGATCCCGGCGACCTGCTCCAGTGTGTCGATGTTCTGAGTGTAGTTCCTCAGTAACCGTCCCTTCTTATCCAGCATCGAGATGAACCTGTGACACAGAGACGGCTGGAACTGTCCCGGGTAGATTTCCTACAGGGTAATGAAACGGCGCATATTAAGATTTATCTTCATGGCAAGACGTCACAGGTGAATAATAGGGTAGATAATATCACTATGCACCCACAGGTGATTACATCGCAGTAGCAGCCAGGGCTCAATGAAATGCGCTTTATATTTCCCAAAATTCTGTTCATTTTTATCCAAATTACATATTTTCTGTTTTAGTTATTCTGGATTATGTTCTTTATTGCACTCCATTTTAATGGCTAAATAAAATTTTATTAATGAAAAAGCATGTCTAACTAATTGAAATCATGAAACGTATACAATTTAACAATTTATTAAAAGTTTAACAAAAATTACATGTTTAGCGCCCTATGAAACACTTATTTTTTCTAGATTCTGTTCTTTTTTACGTTTAAATTTTAATGGTTAAATAAAATTGTAGTTATCAAAAATCATGTCTAATTAATTGAAATCAAGATACTTATACAAATGTACAAAGATTTGCATGAAAAATTGCATGTTTATGGCTCTATGAAATGCACTTTCCCCCCTAAAATTCTGTTTAATTTTTTATTTTTTTTTACCAAATTCTGTGTTTTCCGTTTTAAGTTTTCTTGATTTAATTTTAATGGTTTAATTACATTTTAATAATCAACTGAACTCATAAAAACAACAATTTATATTTTAAAAAAAAAATATATATATATATATTTCTGTGAAATGAATTAAAAAATATTTGGCAATCAAATGATGGCATTAAACATTAATTAAATTTACCTTTTAATCATTTACAATAAAACACCTTTTTGTCAAACAAAGTGCTACACAACAGAGCATTACTGTTAAAATTAAAAATTAAAGTTTTATTAACAATTTATTATTATTATTATGTGTTACTTATTATTACATTGAGATGTAGTTAAATTCTACTGTACAACACTAACATATTTCTGTCATCATTTCTTCAAGTTAAACCGAACTTTTATTTTGACGGGTTGCAGTGAAGTGGATTGAACGATTCTGTGCGTGTTTTCAAATCATTTTTAAACATAACAGTTTCTGAACTGTTATGTTTAAAAATGTAAATGAGGCATTGTGTAATTTAAACATGGAAATCTGAACACTAAAGGCATGTTCATCATTCTGTTAATATATTAGAGATATGTGCAACAGATATAGATAAAAACAGATTAAAAATGTGTTTTGGATGTATTCTTTCCACTTGTCTGAAAGAATACATAATTATGGAAGCAAAATAGACAATATGAATGAAAAATATCCTTTTCCTGCCTGTAGCGTCTTGCGTTATAATTTGAAATGCATGTTTTCCATTCTTGGGAGAAATGCAAATGAGAACAAACCTTGGCAAACTTGAAAAAAGGCCTGGGATCTCTTCTAAAGTAGTCTATGTCAAACATGGCTTGAGGATCAGGAAGATCAGGGAAATCCACAGCGAGTCGAGCGTATATTCCATCTCGAGAGCGAAAGTCAGGAATCCCGCAGGAAACGGACACCTGTGGACACGAGAGGGACAATATTCGATATATTCCAATACAGAAAAGTGTTTCAGAGTAGAAAAAATAATCAAAAACACACCCCAGCGCCGGTGAGCACCAGAACCTTCTTTCTCTCGTTCAGGAGTCGGACGACGTCCTCTAATGTGTTGATGTCTTTGTGTTTTTTCCTTTTGGGCGGCTCCGAGATGTTGATGATGATCTGCCACAGTGTCATGTCATCCAGATCCGGCGGAAGCACCGTTTCGGGAAGCAAGTCTTTCAGAATGGCCCTCGGGTCAGTTCCTCTCATGATGTGCTGCTGAATGAACCGATACGATCCTAAAGGAAAGCCATACTTTCATATAACTCACAAAACACTCAATTCTAGAGCAGATTAATGTGCAATTTGCACTATAATGATGTATAACTGTTCACACTAATCATCAGTGTCAGATGTTTGACTTTATTTTCATCTTGAAATATGCATCAGGCACTCAGTAATGAATGGACGAATCGAGTAAACTTACCAATCTGCGGTTGAGGAGTCCAATCACTGGAGCTGGCGTGAGAAGAGCAGTCATCATCATCATCATCACGAAGAAGATCAGGTGACGGGAACCCATTGGGATGGACAGCTTCGTCAATTAACACTGTGTGCAAAACACACAATCATTTTAAATTATATAAGAGGAATAACAGCAGCAAAAACAGTGTAACATAACTGCAATATTCCACTAGATTGCTCAAATTTGCATTATTTATTTGAGTTTTTTTTTTTTTAATGTATGTATTTAAGCAAATAAGCAATATTATATGACTAATATATAAACAGGAAAATATGATCAATCTGTGTGGGAGTTACAGTTTCAGTCATCAGCTTTCTGAATCATCTGAATAGTATATCAATCATCTGGTTTACTAAACTAATTTAGTCCAAAAGACAAGGCTATATTAAAGTGTCCAAATATATTTTAATAAAACATGTTTAAAGCATCAAATATGTACGGAGTTGTCAAAGCAGTGACAGATAAAATATCTAGTATTACAATAAAATATCTAGTAATTATATAAAATAATTAATTAAATATAACGTTTTATTATATTTAATTAGTGAATTAAAACAATAAAATAATATCAATTAAGTATTGAAATTATATATATATATATATAGTAATTACAATTATTTTGAATTAGTAGGTAATTAATAATAATGCTAATACAATATTTAATATATACAATATATCAATAATAACGATAAAATAATATCTAATAATTAATTAAATTATATAAACATCTAAACATAGTTATAATGATAGTAATAAAAATAATCACTTAAGTTGTTATTTTATTAAATACTCATTTAATAAAAACGTAAAAATAGAGTAAAACTGTGTGAACATGCAGCTAAACCTGTCTGTTATCTTATCATAAGAGATAAAAATTAACTTTTAATATAACCAATAATGGAATAATTGGCTAAAGAATGTAACGCTGTTGTACCGGAGAGCTCGGCTTCTGGTTCGGCTGTGCGCCCGGGTTCAGTGCGCTTGTTGTTGTTATGGAGTGAGGCCTGCCGGGACTCGTCCATCAGCGCCGGTTCCGCCTCCACCGGTTCGGTTCCGCCAGGATCGCTGTGTTCCGAATCACCGGGCGGGTCCCGAAGCCTCGGTCTCTTCAGAACCGGCCCGTCCAGCTCAGCGGCGTCGGCGGGTTCGGCCCGTTTAGTTTCGCCGTCCGCCATCTTCGCCAGGGAGGGAGTGAGCGAGTGGAGGAGGGGCGCGATCGAGCGGGAGGACCTTCCGGTAATGATGTGACGTGGCGTCACGTCACAGCGCGATCGAACCGTGACGTTTACAGAGCACGTGAAATGTAATTTATTCTGTTATAATTTGCTTTTTTATGTTATTACTATATTGTTTACGATATGCTACTTGGTATTATTCTTAAGGTGTTTAACAATGATAATATGTTAATGCCTGTTTGTTATTTGAAATTATTTAATAAAGTAAAAAAAAAAAAAAAAACACTACAAAGCACATGACTGCCCCGCAGTAACAAACGTAGTTTTTTGATATAATTGTGTGTACATTATTTAAACCCCATTGTCAAACATACCATGTTATTATTAACGCGGAACACGTCCAAGTACATTTTTGTATGTTGTACATGTCATTTTTTTAATAAAAGGCTATTTTGTAGATTTGGTATTTTAGTATGAGTCATAGCGTATGTCACGAAGGCCATTTAAAAGCCCTGCTACCGTAAATGTCCAAATACTTGCGCGCATGCGTGCTCAATCCAGCGCCACAGTGCGAGTGAGGGTCTCGTCTAAGCGAGTTTACGGTAATGCGTGTTCACTGTGTTGTGGTTGGGTGAGTGTTGGAGGCATGGAGGCGATACTGAACTGCAGAACGGAGGATTTGGAGGATTATTACGGGCTGCTCGGCTGCGATGAACTGTCAACGGTAAACACACAAGTTACAACAACTTATAATAGTTGTTTTAGGGTTTGTGTTTTTATTATTTCTGCTAGTTTATTACGGCATCTTAAAGGACAACGATTATTATTTTAATCGCAACTGCAACAACATACATATCAGAGTTATTAATCTGTCGTAAGCAATCTGAAAACATTAGGTAATTGCATTGATGTGCATGTGACAGAATGAGATGATAACAGCCTGTTGCCTGTGTGACATCATCAGTCATTATAATAGTTGAATAAATAGCTGGGAAATGCACATGCTGCAGCAAATAGACATTAAATATGTTTACAGAATCATTAGATGCTAGTAATTAATAATATGCATTTCTCTCACACAGCCTGAACAGATTGTCAACGAGTTTAAAGTGAGAGCCCTGGCCTGCCATCCTGACAAGCATCCAGAGAACCCTAACGCAGGTATATATATTTATATAGTTTTGTGAAAATGCCATTTTCTTTAAGAGAAACTGACTCTGAGGCATACAGTAATTAATGAATAATACCATGGTCATTTGATTAATGATTACCATTCATTACTTGCAGTGCATTTTATCCACAACATTCACATTTGCTGATTGATTTAGGATCTCTAATTTATAATATAAAGCCAAATATTGAGCTATAATTATGACCGAGTGCTTGGATCTCTTGTTTTGGTGATTTCTTCTTGCAGTGGAGGAGTTCCAGAAGTTACATGAGGCTAAAGAGATCCTCACAGATGAGAAGAAAAGAAAGTGTTATGATCTCTGGCTCAGAAGTCGAATCACAATCCCATTCAGCCAATGGCAAGCGCTCAGCGACTCGGTCAAAACTGTGAGTGTTAGTCCTGCTGACATTAACATTGCATTATTTCATGTAACCGGGATATTAAAGTTGTCAACATTTGAAGTGGATCAAATCAAAGTTGTCCTAAGACAAGAACGGGTATTGTTCAAAATCCATGTATAACTTTAATGAAAGGTTTTGATCCACTTTAAATGTTGACTTCTGTATAATAACAATACATTTAGGAAAAAAACCCAAACTGATCACACAAAAATCACAAAATTTTGCCAAAGCAATTAAAAAAACGAATGTGTCTCCAAAAATGGCATCAGTCGATGCATTGGGCCGTGAGGATGAAGAAAGAGCCGATGCTCGAGGACACGGATCGTCCAGTGAACTCGAGGAGTGAAGGCGCAGTGGAGGAGAAACCCTCTGGAGCAGCACTGCCGTCAGGTGACACACTCATTCCCTTCTTCTGCTAGCGTATTCAATTGTTTCCCTGGGATTGACCGTAACGTGTCTCGCTCCGCAGGCGAGTGCCGGCACCACAGGTTTCGCTGGGCTGGTGAAGCTCCCTCAGGCCTTTTACTGAAGTTCAGGAACTATGAAATATAATGCAGAGTTTCTGCGCTTCTGTTCTTTGCTTCCGTGTGAGTGCCTGTATCATGCATAGAGAGTCAGAACTGACCAATCATCAACTGTGTTTCACCTTAACATTGACTTGATTCGGTTGTTTGTTTTGTAGGATGATAATACATGTTGAAATTAGTGATCATCGTATGCCTTAAAGGGACTCTGTGTAGATTTTTAGGTATTTTATTATCTGAAATCAATATTTTTATTCATAAATATGTCCTCAATGGTGTACAAATACCTCTGCAAATTATCTGACTTATCCTCGTAAATGAAGAATTTATTATCTTTATGTACATGGGACGGGTAGGTTCACGGAGGCTTCCATGTCCGTTCCGCCATCTTGAAAACTATAATAGCAGAGAGGGTCAAAAAGTACCACAAGCCAAACGCGTTTCCACAACGCGTTTTCGTTCAGACTCAGAGCCATCGTCACGTCACATTGAGAGGCGCATTCCCTGCAAGTTTAAACGGCTGCATTGCACTCCTATGATTGCTGATTGCTCTTTTGCTCTAATTGCGGACCATATGCCGAGTCACAGGAGAATGCATCCTCCTCGCAAAAAAAGGCCAGACTTGAACGAAAAAGGAAAAGTGAACGGAGATTGCAAAAAACAAGACCATTCATTTTTCCGTCATAAAATTAATCGGATATGGTTCGATTTTCTGCGTTTTTCGCATCCAGAGCCAGCATTTTGAGAGGTCTTTTGACAATTCAGGGCCGGGGGAGCTCGTCCTCACATCATTGCACATTATGCGCCGTGCTTTCAGTTTCGGTTTTCAATTCGATCAAGTGTTTATGTTCTCTTCTCTATATTGGATTATGAAATTAATAAACCTCCCCTTTCAATCAGATTGAAATTTAGGATCGAATAAAGTGTGATTGAGCAGCCTATTCGATAACTAATGTATTATTTGGGCACAATATACACAATACATACACAATAACAGCCTAGCTGTTCTGTCTGCCCAGCGCTTCCACAGGGCCGCGCGCGGGTGTGTGTGTGTTTGTGTGTGTGTCCATACCTGGTCCATACCAGACACACTGCCAGTCTCCGTTCAGAATCGATTGGTTCACGGAAATTGGTGGTCTTGTTTTTAATATGTGGCTCCAGAATCGCTAGCAAAGCATCAAACTGTCCCGCTGACATTCTGAGGTAAATTTTGAATCGCTCAGGATAAAATCGCAACTTCTTGATAATGAACTCCTTCCTCTCGGCGCAATTTCAGGATTGGATGGATATTTTCTATTTCTTCTCTTTTCAATATGAGAGAGGGCAAAAATCATCCTCACTGCTTGACGAATCCATTTGGTATTTTTGCGTTTTTTCCCGCAAAGGTTTAATAAATACGCAACGGACTCGGTGTGCAAGGTTTCTATGCGTGACGAATTTTTAGGCTGACGTACAGGAAAATACGCATACGAATATTTCGTGCTCAGTGTGCAATGGCCTTAAATATCGGGATAGCGTTTTCAACCGTGGAAATAGCTAATGCAGCAGAAAGATTTCAGAAGAGACGCTGAAGTTGCCTGCTTTCTCCTCGACAGGTTAGTCAATGTTACAGTCTGACTTAATTTTTTTGTCATTGCTTGGTTGTGTACTTTATTATATAGACAGTATAACATTTATTGGTAAAAAAGTTAAACAAGGTCTTTGATGAATAGCAGCTATTGACTACTTTACTCGCAGCTATTGTGAAGGAAGGTGCTAAAAACAAGGTTTGTAAGTTAATTCTTTATAACCTATAAATTCAGTAAGAATATAGAGATAATGATTGTAAGAAAATATTGAAGAAAATATTGCTCTCTGTAAGATTTTCTATACAGCTTTTTTTATATATAAATGATCAATTAGCTAAAATTGTGATTTTGCTATGTGGATAAGATTGTACAGAGAATTAAAATTAATTTATACAGCTAGACACATAAATTGTACACATAAGTTAACACATAAGTTGCTGTTTTTTTTTTTAAGTTACAAACCTGTTCACCCGAAAAACTCGATGAAGTGTTACTACAAGACATCCTGTCATAGCATTTTTGGTACATAACGGCAACCGTAGATGCAATACGCACTTGAAAATGCGAGGCGCTGGAGAGCAAAATTCGTTTGAATGCAAAATACTATTTAACCACTAGATGGGGGTATTTCCTACACAGAGTCCCTTTAAATGTCTTGTCAGAATTGTTTAAGTAAAACTAAGTTATTTAGTTCATATATGACCCATTCAATTTGAAATATAATTGCATTAAATTAATAATTGTAAGTATATTAGTCATGGGTGTCTTGTAAAAAAGAAGAAGCCACTTTTGTAGTCATGTTTTTTTATTTACAGCATTGTGAGGCAAATATATGTGTATTTGAAAGAAAGGTACGTGCTTTTGTGGCCATTTACATTCCGAGTGTTTATATTGTGTGTGTGTGTGTCTGTAAACTTCTGCATTGTACTTAATTGTCAGTCAATTTGTCAAATTCTGCAAAAATAAAACAACCTATTGTCTAATAGGACAAATATTGAAAAGTCAATATTTCAGACAGACAGACAGACAGACAGACAGACAGACAGACAGATAGATAGATAGATAAATAGATAGATGGATGGATGGATGGATGGATGGACGGATAGATAGATAGACAGACAGACAGATAGATAGATAGATAGATAGATAGATAGATAGATAGATAGATAGATAGATAGATAGATATAGATAGATAGACAGACAGACAGATAGATAGATGGATAGATAGATAGATAGACAGACAGATAGATAGATGGATAGATAGATAGACGGATAGATAGCCAGACAGACAGACAGACAGATAGATAGACAGACAGACAGATAGATAGATAGACGGATAGATAGCCAGACAGACAGACAGATAGATAGATAGATAGATAGACAGATAGATAGATAGATAGATAGATAGATAGATAGATAGATAGATAGACAGACAGACAGACAGACAGATAGAATCATATCAACAACAATTACGATTTTCAAATTATGATATAATTTCAAATTGGAATATCTTATAAAATAATATAGCTTTTTATTTAGTGTGTTGGTTTTCCGTCGGAAATACAGGCAGTCGGAAGAGATTTTACTTTTATTTTTATTGTCCGCTCTGGTTACACCTGTCCGCTCTTCCCGTTCACTCATTGGTCAAAGTCCAGCGGTTCTTCTCTCTGATTGGCCAATCCTCTGTGTCAATAATTTGATGACTTTCACGGGCACTATTTCACTCACTGCACCGGGAGCGCGCGCGCACAGAAGTCTGTCTGAAAGTTTAAACTCAAGATGGCAAGTAAAATCCTCCTGAGATCCTGTCGACTGACTCTGATGGGGAGACAAAACATGTTAATGAAAACACCTCAACGTGCGATGGCCGGGAAAGGTAAGTGGCATTTAAGAATTCATCGTTTCTGTATAGAAATTATGATTCATTTAAATCTGATATAATACTGATATAATTTTTGCACGTGTAATGCTAAAACAACATGCTGTCTTTTTCTCCGTTTTTTTTTTTTGTTTTTTTTTTGTTGAATGATTGACATTAGCATAGAAAGAACGGACATATGAAATCGCTCGGTAATATCAGTATAAGTTGAAAAGATATTAGAAAGTAGCGTTAAACACGCTCGACATTTCTTGAAACAGTATCGCAGTGACTCGTGTGGTTTATAAGGAGAGATTATAATCAAGGTCATTAGTTCTTTATGTTGTGAAGGGCCTTGCTCTGGCCTTTCTTGGCACAAAACTCATGTTCGTGTGCCAGTTATTCTGGATAATGGCGCACAGCAAACTATATCTGAGCGTCTCTTTATTTAGCCGATATCTGGCGACACCTAGTGGACACATGCTGTAATCTCACTCACAAGACCTAAACAGGTGTGAAGTAAAAATACTCGGGGGGAAATATTTGTATTTAATATATAACATATTATACATAAATGATACTTTATTTACAATTAAATTTGTTTTTACGTTGTGGCGGTACAAATGGCAGTCAAAGCAGAGATGTTTCGTCTCTCCTGGACTGTATATTGTGTATATATAATAGCGCTGTCTTACCACCAGTAAGGGTTTTTGTGTTCCAGGTATTCCCACTGATGAAGAACAGGCTGCAGGGCTGGAGAGACGCATCCTGCAGGCGCTGAAAAAGGGCCAGGTAAAATATAGATGACATTTTTTGTTTGACCGTAAGCTTTGGTGAGTATTTGGGTTTCAATTCAAACCATGTGTTGTTTTTGATCTGTTCTACAGGATCCATACAGCATATTAAAACCAAAGGAATACACTGGATCCAAAGAGGACCCTCATATTGTGCCAAGCATCAACAAACAACGGCTCGTCGGCTGCATCTGTAAGACAAACACACACAAATCCAGATATACGCACAAGCGTGCACTCGCTTGTGCGTGTATATGTATTTGTACACACACAGACAAATAAATCTCAATATAATGTTAATATATATATGAAGAGTTCAGATGCAAAAGCCTCTAAATGCCATTTGAAATTTTCTTCTTAAATGACCAGTTTTATCAAGCTTGTATATTTAAGTTCAGTAATTTCACTTAAATAACAATTAATAGGTAATTATCATTGCCATTTAAGTGAAATTACTGAACTTAAATATACAAGCTTGATAAAAATGATCATTCTAGAAGAAAATTTCAAATGGAACTCTTCATATATATATATATATATTAGGGTTGTGCAAAAATTAATTGCGCTTAATTGCATCCAAAATAAAAGTCTGTGTTTACATATTATATTTGTGTGTGCTGTATATAATTATTTTGTATATATAAATACCTATGCATGCATGTATATATTTAAGAATTATTTGCGCTTAAATTCTGTATATATATATAAATACATAATCTATATTATATAAATATAAATATTTTATTAATGAATAACACATTTTCTTAAATATATCCATGCACGTGTGTGTATTTATATATACAAAATAATTATATAGACCATTTCACAAGATGTAAACAACACTGGTCCAGAAGCACTTCCTGTTTCAGTTTTTTAACACTACATAAAAGCTGGGATAAAATACAACCAACAGAACATTTAAAACTTAATCAAAAGTTAAACAAACATCTTTAAGATGTTTACTTTACATGTCAAAATAAAGAAAACGGTTACAAACTGAAACAGGAAGTGTTTCTGGACCAGTGTTGTTTACATCTTTTGAAATGGTCTTTACAACACACGCAAATATATTATGTAAACACAGACTTTTATTTTGGATGCGATTAATCGAAATTGATTTTTGCACAGCCCTAATAAATAAATAAATATATATATATATACACACACATATATACATATTATATATTAGGGATGGGCAAAGACTAATTGCAATTAATCGCATCCAAAATAAAAGTTTGTGTTTACATAATATATGTGTGTGCTGTGTATAATTTTTTTGCATATAAAAAAATACATATGCATGTATTTAAGAATTATTTGCACGTAAATACTGAATATATATAAATAAATATATATAAACATTTATATAAAATATATGAATAACACATTTTCTGTATTTATATATATAAAATAATTATACACAGCTATATATTACACACAAATATATTATGTAAACACCAACTTTTATTTTAGATGCGATTAATCGCAATTAATCTTTGCACAGCCCTATTTTATATATATATATATATATATATATATATATATATGTATGAACACACACACGCTACTGCACTTTCTTAAGGTGTAGGATTTGTTGGAACGTATTAGCTATAAATGAGACTATGCAAAAGTACAAGAAATACTTTATTTCCAAGGAAGAGTTTCCTAATAGCCGCGTCTCTCTTGTGTTGTGAAGGTGAGGAGGACAACACTGCTATCGTTTGGTTCTGGCTTCACGAGGGAAACCCTCAGCGCTGCCCGTCCTGCGGCTCGCACTACCAACTGGTCCATCATGAGCTTCCACACTGAGCTGAAGCTCTCCAACACACACACACACACACACACCTGCACTTCTGAACCGCAGTGCCTATGCCAAACATGTACAGGACTCCGCAATAAAATAAGTTAATACAATAAAGGACTATAATGAGTTTCTGTTGCATTGATGTATGGAAAAACAAAACATCAAAACTAGAAAATATTGTGTTTATTTACAATTTACAAACACAAGAAAAATGTCAGCATTTGTTTCATTGCTTACACATTTTCTCCAAAAACACACACACACAATGGCACAGCAACTAGTAGCCCATTAACACTCACACACACACGCGCGTGTGATGGGTGTTTTAAGAGTTTTAACTCGAATGTCCTGCACAATGAACGAGTGCAATAACCCAACTCGCTTATTTGTATTGGTCATTTATTATTACTCTGAATTATTATATTTTTTATAGTGTTTGCATTGCCATTCCAGCATGTGAGCATTATAACAGTGATGATGAACACATTCAATGCCATCAGATTTTGGTACTCAATCTTTGAAAACCAAAAAATAAGTCTCAAAACAATCCGATTTTAGTTTTTAGTTAAGGCGTACGTCACAAAAGTGGAGCAAGATCCCTTAACAACACACTTTATCTTAACATCATGTGCAGATTCCGCATTAATATTCATCCACAACACCCTGAAGTCAATCTGAATGACATCGTCGTTTCTTTAAATGTCACATGACATTAATAGCTATTGAATCTGATTGGTTTAGCAAGCGAGAAGTCGTTTAGAGTATAAGGTTTTGTAGTGTTACTGGTAACACTGTACTATAAGGTAATATTAGTTAGTTAACAGCAGCTAATGCATTTTGAACGGACAATGAACAGTGAATTTAGAAATGAACGAATTCTGTCATTGTTAGTTGTTTTTGACACTAATGTTAACGTATTGAACCTTATTGTGAAGTGTTACAGGTTAAAAAAGAAGAAAGAAAGAAAAAAGAAGTGCTTTCCAGCCACAAATGCTGATATACAAACGCTCTTTGTTTCAGTAACTGATGCATGATCAGACGTCTTTATGCTAATCTGTGCGGTACCTGCGGCGGGTCACACCAGGTTGAAGCCCTGGTTGTGTTCGATGGCCTGCAGCAGCTTCTCTCGCAGCGTGTCTTTGCTCGTGTACTTGGGCAGATCCAGCAGGTTGAAGCATGTGTGCGCCACAGGGAAATACTGCTCTCCTCCTCCCGTGGGCTGGATCACCAGCGCCAGGCTCTTCATGCCCATGATGGGGATCCGGTCGCTGCCCGTCAGGAACACTGGAATACACGTCAAAGCACACACAGGTCAAACTCCAAAAATAGAATATCGTGCAAAAGTTCATTTATTGCAGTGATTCAACTTAAAAGGTGAAACTAATATATTATATAGACTCATTACATGCAAAGTGAGATATTTCAAGCCTTTATTCGTTATAATTTTGGTTAATCTAAGTCACAGCTTATGAAAACCCCAAATTAAAAATTAGAATATTGTGAAAAGTCATCATAATCATCAAAATTATAACAAATAAAGGCTTGAAATATCTCACTGTGCATGTAATGAGTCTATATTATATCTTAGTTTCACCTTTTAAAGGGATAGTTCACTTTGAAATTAATTTTTGGTGTGTTTTATCTTACCTCAAGGGCATCCAAGATGTAGGTGTCTTTGTTTCCGCAGTATTTTCATATTTTGATATTTTTAGGTCAAACCGTTCTTGTCTGTCAGTCATATAATGGAGGTCTATGGTCACCACCTCAAAGAGCATGCACAGAGAAGTCCAAATTAAACGACTCGTAAATGTAAGTACAGATTGATTGCCTAAGACGAGAAACGGTTTGTGTGAGAAAACCAACAGTATTTATATTGCATGCTCTTTGAGGTGGTGACCATAGACCTCCATTATATGACTGACAGACAAGAATGGTTTGACCTAAAAATATCAAAATATGAAAATACTGCGGAAACAAAGACACCTACATCTTGGATGCCCTTGAGGTAAGATAAAACACACCAAAAATTAATTTCAAAGTAAACTATCCCTTTAAATTCGGGACGATGCCGTTTGATTCCATTAAAATAACGCTGCTGTCCGTATGGCGATACACTGCAGGTGAATAGGGGAAATGCTTTACTATACTTACCCAGCGGATTAATAATATTACATTAAGATATTTTTTTGTATTACAAGTTTTCTAAAATGTTATGTTTAAACATGGAAATGAAGAAAGCACTAATGTGCAATGCATACACTTCCAGAAAGGAAATCTGAACATTGGATAAAGCAAAAATCTTTTGACATATTAGAGAATATCCAGAACAAGATTCAGGATTTCTCTCTTTATCACTCCAAAAATAATCAGAAAGTACTCTAATGAATCTAAAAGTGATGCATCACTTACGCAGGAACTGTTTCTTCTTCTCCAAAGGCAGCTCGTGAAACACTTCCCAGAACATCTTGATGGTGGGGTGATCCGCCCAGTACTCGTTCTTATACTCCGTGCTCTGAGAATCAACACACACACACAAAGTGAACATACTACAGCATCAAAACCTTTCCAAACACACACTGTCTGTTCAAGCACAAAAACAGCCGGAGTGCACGTGAATGTTGACCTTCTCTAACTCCTTCCAGTCGTAGTTGGTGTTTCCTATGACCATGGCCTGCAGTTCGCTGGGCTGGAAAAGCTCCAGAACTTTCCCTCCACACACTTTGTGAAATCCAGCGTGGAAAGCACTGAACTGAGGAGCCACGGAGGTGTTGAAGATATAATTAACGTAGGCCTTGACAAACTCCTGCCTGGTAAGGTTGAGAATAGGTTATTTAATAGATCAAATATCAAATCATTAATACGGTAATGCTTTATTTTGATAGTCCACTCAAAAAAAATCGAACTGTTTGCACCTGATGTTAAGATGCATTTTGACCTCTAAGAAACATAAAAAGAACACGCATGTGTGTTATAGCTCGCTGCCACTTCACAAATAGTGAATCTATAATTTTTTTCTTGACATATATCCCTCAGGTGCTCTTCGGTCATTTCTGGTGACTTTTATGGCATTATGTATGTGAACACAAAAAAAAAATTGAGGTCATGATCATCCGAGCATGCTAAGTGGTTGTAAAAAAAATAGTCACACTTGTGGTCTTCTGTCAAACATGACAGACCACAGGAAATGAATGGGAAATTGACAAAAAAATAAATAAAATTCTCTGAATTTTTGTACGTGCAATCTACAAATCGGCCACAATTCTAAAAAAAAGTACACCGCAGGAAAGGGGTGACACTCTACAACATCTAGAGTGCAAAACAGACGAACCCACCAACAAAAAAACACATACAAACACACTTTTATACACACCAATAAATTTTGATTACAAAAAGTTTTGAATTTTTAAAAATCACAGCTTCATCGTTATGTTACGAAACTTGGTGACTTTTATGGCATCATGTATGTGAACACAAAAAATAATTGAGGTCATGATCTGAGGATGCTAAGTGGTCTTAAAAAAATAGTCATACTTGTGGTCTTTGGTCAAAAAAATGACCCCATAGGAAATGAATGGGAAATTGAAAAAAACACAAAAATTCACAATTTTTTATTAATGTTTTTACATTTTTTTTTTTATAAAAAATTGTTTTTGTGATTGTTTCAACTATATATTCAAATCCACAAAAAAAAAAAAAAGTGTTCATAAACAGTTGGGTAATTCACATGCTTCTCCATAGAGAGCTGTACATGCCATCTAGTGGTTACACCATGATTCTACGCTTTTTCTCGATACTGTAACCAGATGGTGCTAATTTTCTTCAAAAAATATTTTTTCTCTGAAGGTTTAGACTCGATATTAAACTAAAATACTGCATTAATAATTTTTTGGAAAAAAAATATATATATATATATATGAAGAGTTCAGATGCAAAAGCCTCTAAATGCCATTTGAAATTTTCTTCTTTAATGATGATTTTTATCAAGCTTGTATATTTAAGTTCAGTGATTTCACTTAAATGGCAATGATAATTACCTATTAATTGTTATTTAAGTGAAATTACTGAACTTAAATATACAAGCTTGATAAAAATCATCATTAAAGAAGAAAATTTCAAATGGCATTTAGAGGCTTTTGCATCTGAACTCTTCATATATATATATATATATTTTTCCATGGCAAAAATAGACCATAAATATTGCATAAATATTAATAAATTCAATAAAATTGTCTCAAAATACTAAATTATAAAGAATAAATATTATAGAACAAAAATAAATTGCATTGGTTTTACTGGGATGAAGGAAATTAAATTTTTAGGTGTCCGGTCACTTTTGACCGGGAAGACAACAAGTGTGACTCCGAAACGAAGAGCACCTGAGGGTTAAAACATTTTCAGACCTTTTTTTTTTCTTTTGAACTCTTGTCATGACAACAAACAATCATTCTTTCATGATTTTTCATGTTCATCACTATTTCAAAATGAAGGGTCTGAACACACCTTAGGAGTATGAAAATATTCTTGTTGCAAATTGATCAATTACAGCTCCTCTGTAATTCACTTTGAAGACCAAATATGCAAACTAGAGGTTGTATAATGATATATAGTTTGTCAAGATTAGTCTAGGATATGACCGTTTTAAACATGTAAAGGCTCGGTGACACATAAGATGCACTTTGGTCGATCTGATCTCGAGTGGACGACGCTAAATACAGGTGGAAAACGTTTTGAGCTTGTCCACTTTCAACCATTTCCAGAGATAGTTGGAAACACATTCGACCGGATTGCTTTCGTCGTGTAAACGCTCATGTGATCCAATGTAAAAGACGCTTGCTCTCTAATGCGTTCACATTACGGGAAGCGCTCTAGCCAGACGGGATTGAAACTGTCGGCTGATGACCCAAGATTGGTTTGAAGAGGAATAACGTACCATCACAATGTTCTTCTCTCTCCATTCCTGATTTCTAACACACACTCGCAGCGTTCGGCTGGTCACCAAAGCTGCAGCTCTCCGTATGTTTTCCTGTTTTCTCTGGTCGTGTTCATAATTGCACAAGCTTATTTCATCCATTAGATCTTTCAAAACGCCCATTCATTTACGCCCATAAACCCTCCCCTCGAAGATATCAGGACTGAAGTGTTTGAAAGAAGACAAGAGCCGAGAGTGTCTACTCGTGATCCGATCAACCAAAACACATCTTAATAGCAGCTGTAAACAGGGCCTACATGTCGACTAGCAGTCATTAGAGTATTACTAGACTGTATATCTGACTTTTAGTAACTTTGCAACTACATGTCAACTTAATATACTAATCTAAACCAAACAGTTTGCTAATACTCTACTGGGAGTTAGTTTACATGTCGTTGCAAAGTTACTTATAGTTAGTAGACCATCGAGATAAAGTGCAACCAAAACAGGAATTCATGCGTCAAATTAAGTCCCAAGGTGAGTGAATCATAGTCAATAAATCACAATGATGGTGATGAGAGAATGTAAATATAATACCTGTTGGATTTGTTGACGGTGATGTCCGTCCCGTTGGGTATCAGCTCTAATACCTCTGTGGCACCAAAATTTTCCTCTGTGACCTGTAATAAGTAATTTTTTTTTTAAATGAAGCAATTGTTTAAAATGACATTACATGTAAACGCTTTAATTGTTCTTACTGTGAAATTCAGGCAGAAAGTTTCTTCCAAATCATCCTCGGTATAATCCAGCAGCTGCTGAAGACTCCTGAAGATCCACAGAGAGAGAAAACCATCACATCTACACTACAAACACCCCTGCTGATGTCACATGACTACTTTGATGATGTCTTTATTTGCTTTCTGGACAAGGACACACATTTCCAATGAAGCTCTCAGACTAAATCTAAAATATCTTAATTTGTGTTCTGGAGATGAACGGAGGACATCATTTTCATTTTGGGTGAACTAACCCTTTAAACTTAATACATTTTTACCAAAGAACTCCTCAAACACAGAAAATGTGCCGTTGATGTTATTGTGAATCGTGCATGTGTCCAAATGATGGTTTATGTCCACAGTGCGTGTCATAGTACATCAAATATCTCAAACAGTCAAAGATAGGTTCATTTGTCATGATATGAGCCCTCAAACATTAAAAGAAGCACAAAATCAAAGCGTCATCATCGGCTGAAACGCACCTTCCCACATCCGGCATGAGTTCCTTCAGGTCCTCTAGGGTGGGCTCTTTCTTCAGGAGTTTCTTGTACAGCGCTAGCGGGAAGTTCAACTCCACTATAGTGAGGTTATAGATGGCCAATCCACAGATGACACCAATCAGGTGGAACAAGTCGATGTCTTCAAAAGTCTGCAGTAAAGCATGAGTGAGACTGACATTTCCTCATCTGATCATCCGCTAAGATCATCATCAGATAAGCCACTGATCAAGTGACTGTAGTGTGAGTCAGAGGAATGAAGAGTTGGTTTTGGGAACTTTGTTAGTGTTATTATATTTCCTATGTATCTTCTTGAGAACTTTTGAATGATGGATCTTCTAATGTTTTTGAGTGTGGTCTAACGTTTCCTTTTGTACTTTAAAGTCAATATTTATACGAATATGTCTATCTATCTATCTATCTATCTATCTATCTATCTATCTATCTATCTATCTATCTATCTATCTATCTATCTATCCATCCATCCATCCATCCATCCATCCATCCATCCATCCATCCATCTATCCATTTATCTATCTATCTATCTATCCATCTATCTATCTATCTATCTATCTATCTATCTATCTATCTATCTATCTATCTATCTATCTATCTATCTATCTGCCTATCCAAAAATATCCATTCATCCAAAAATCTATCATCCATCATCCATCCAAATATCTATCCATTCATCTCATCTATCCAAAAATATCCATCCATCCATCTCATGTTTCCAAAAATATCTATCATCTATCCATCCATCCATCCAAATATCCATCCATCTCATCTATCCAAAAATATCTAACATCCATCTATCCATCCATCCAAATATCCATCCATCCATCCAAATATCTATCTATCCATCCATCCAAATATCCATCCATCTCATCTATCCAAAAATATCTATCTAACATCCATCTATCCATCCATCAATCCATCTATCCAAATATCCATCCATCCATCCAAATATCCATCCATCCATCCAAATATCCATCCATCCATCCAAATATCCATCCATCCATCCAAATATCTATCCATCCATCCAAATATCCATCCATCCATCCATCCATCCAAATATCTATCCATCCATCCATCCATCCAAATATCTATCCATCCATCCAAATATCCATCCATCCATCCATCCAAATATCTATCCATCCATCCATCCATCCATCCATCCAAATACCCATCTCATCTATCCAAAAATATCTATCTAACATCCATCTATCCATCCATCCAAATATCCATCCATCCATCCAAATATCCATCCATCCATCCAAATATCTATCCATCCATCCAAATATCCATCCATCCATCCAAATATCTATCCATCCATCCAAATATCCATCCATCCATCCAAATATCTATCCATCCATCCAAATATCCATCCATCCATCCATCCAAATATCTATCCATCCATCCATCCATCCAAATATCTATCCATCCATCCAAATATCCATCCATCCATCCATCCAAATATCTATCCATCCATCCATCCATCCATCCAAATACCCATCTCATCTATCCAAAAATATCTATCTAACATCCATCTATCCATCCATCCAAATATCCATCCATCCATCCATGCATCCATCCATCCGAATATCTATCCATCCATCCATTGCTATCTATCCATCCATCCATCCATCCATCCATCCAAATATCAATCCATTCATCCATCTAAATATATCCATCCATCCAAGTATCTACCCGAATTTCCATCCATCCATCCAAATATCCATCCATCCATCCAAATATACCCAAATATCTAACATCCATCCATATATCTATCATTTATCCAAATATCCATCCATCCATTCATTCATTCATTCATCTATATGTACATCCATCCATCCATATATCTATCCATCCATCCAAACATCCATCCATATATATTTATGATGATTGAAGAATACAATTTGTTTTGTGGAATTTACTTCAACATACATGTATTATAAGAATAAAGTTGGGCGTGTTTTAAAAGTAGTACAGTAAAAGATATATTAATGAGATCAAGTGTTTAATATCAAAAACGTTTAGTGTTTAAGCATTGCACCTGGTTTGGTGTGCACTGACAGCTTCTGCTTTATGGCCTTTGAATATAGACTTTTGACGATTTTGTTCTCAAAGGACATTGCACACTTTGTTACTATACCTTGTGAGCGAACCAGATGAGTCTGGACTCCTCGTAGTATCTAAACATGCCATATTTAGGGTGTAAGAGTTCTTTCATGATGAGCAGGAAGAACTCCTTTCTCACGCCGCCAGCGTCCACGGCCTCCTCTCCAACAAAGATCACCTGCAGAATAATACAATTAATACTTTTTGTGCGCAAAAATAACGACTTTTATGTCAGAATAACGACTTTTATGTTATGTATGTCAGAACGCAGGCTCACTATTGGCCAGCATCACACGCATAACCAGCGTTGGCCAATCGTGAGCATACGTTCTGATGTGCAACCCAGAAGCACTGCACTGTTTTGTGTTCTGAAGATGAACTAAAGTCTTACGGGGTTGAACAACTCATTACTGACTCATTTTTGGGTGAACTAACCCTCTAAGCCAACCTTGTTTACCTTGAGCGGCTTCTTGTAATCAACGTTTTTGGACTTCCTCAGCACCTCCATGGAGTCTCCGACCACGTTATCTCGACGTACGATGAGGATGAGGCAGGGGTTGACTGACTCCACTCCTCCACCAGAGAGGAACAGCGAGTGTAGGTTCTGTCTCTGAGCCTGGTCCACGGCTATCTGATCACAACAGCACTGTGAGCGCACGAGAGTAAAACATGAGGTCAAATCTTCAGCTGCGGCAGAGCTCTCTCACCTGCATCTGGATCACAGCATCCGTCTGGAGGAGCGTCGTCTTCGCCTGAGCGTCGAAAACAAACGGGTATTTGCACAAGATGACCTGAGAGTCCATGACCTGTTCGAGACAGAGGAGAATGTGACTGTGATTTGAGATTAAATCCAGCTTTTAAATGTTGTTTGTGTGTATACATGGTGTTTTTAATATGAAAGTTCATAAGTCGACAGCATTGCTGAGTATTTTCTGACGCTGGTGTTTCTGACGTCAAAAACGACCTTGTAACCAATCAGATCAACGTGTGATCGTCAACCAGTGGATCTCCCAGTGGGGCTAATTTGCATATTCATAGAACCGCGCATACTAAATGAGGCAAGGGTGTCGAGTTACACACATTCAAGATATTTTAAGACATGAATATTTTTTTTTTTTCCACAGGAAAAACTTTTAACCCTCTGGGGTTGTTCGTTTCAGAGTCACACTCGGGGTGTGCGGGCGGGATTCATATTTAAAAAAAAATCATGATTTTTTTTTTTACTCGTTTTTTTATATATATATATATATATATATATACAGTATATATATATTTTTTTTTTTGGTGTTTTGAGAAAATTTCAAAAATAAAAAATAATTATAATTAGTATTAATGCAATAATTATGACAAAATTTCCCCCCATTGAACATAACAGAAAAAAATATTTAATATTTATTTATTATTTAATATTATTATTATTTTTTTTTTTAAAGCTGCATTTCATTTTAGAGTCAAGCCTAGGCCTCATAAAAACAATTTTTGAAATGAGATGGATGCCATCTGGTGGACAAACTGAGCATTTTAAAAATGCAAAACACATGTATAATCTGAATTTTTTTGGTGTGTTACTGTGTTTGTGTATAAAAGTGTGTTTGTGTGTGTGTCTGTTTTGCACTCTTGATGTTTTATAGATTCACCCCTTCACTGTTGTGTGCTTTTTTTCAAGATCGTGGCTGATTTGTAGATTGTACGCACAAAAAAACTCAGTATTTTCACATTTTTGCCAATTTCCCATTCATTTTCCATGCGGGTCCATTTGGACCCGAACACCCCAAGTGTGACTATTTTTTTTTACAACCACTTAGACTATTCACTTCCTGTCCCCAATTTTTTTGGGGTGTTCAAATACCAAATACCAACAAAGTCACCAAATTTTGGACCATTCCGAGGAAGCTGTGATTTAAAAAAAAAAATTTATTCAAATTCTTCGGGTCCATTTGGGCCAAAAAACCCCAGAGGGTTAAATATGTAATTTTGTGATCAAAGATGAGTTTTAAGCAATAAAATTATTGACTTCAGGAGGACTTTAAAAGGAAAGTGTAATTTTTACACATCAAGCAGAACCAAACAGAACAACCAAAATAAGACATATTTCAAACACAACCTGATTTTGTTCAGTGCTGCTAGTGCTAGAACAAGAATTACACACGTTTTGAGCAAAGCACTGCTCCGGTTGTGTGTGTGTTCATTACTCAATACTTCTAATGTATGTGCCTCCACATGTAGCTTTAAACTTCAGGAGTGTAAAATGATGCTGATCACCTTTGAACAATGCAAACTCACCACAGAGAACATCTGCTGCTGAAACCAGGTGACATAATCATTCCTGATGTCAACGAGCTCATCCAGCTCGTGAATATAGAACTTGTCATACTGGATGATCTGGCCAGCACGCTCATTGACCTGCAACAACATCAGAAAATTCATATTAGCAAATTACAGTATGGTTCCAATTGTTAACTACCGTACATTACACCAGCAAGATTGAGAAAAAAATCATGTTAAGTACAACATTATGAGTGGGTAACAATACACACATTAGAGCATTTAGAGGCATGCCATTCTAAATTAAAGTATGTTGGACAGATGTTTTCCAAAATGGGGCACAGCCAGTGTCTGTTGACTAGAGTTGGGTTCAGGGCTTGACATCAACACCCACCAACCAACCAAATGTGTGTGTATTTCAGCGTTGGCATGTAGCGCAGTCGCTCCTACTAGCCACTTTGGCGGATTGAATTTTATATAATATACATTTTTCAATTGTAGTCTATTAAAAGGCATCTTAAATAATAAACTAAGTGCGATCTAGTGTTGGCAGTAATATTGATTTTTCGAGACATATATTGATACTGAAATATCTGAAACTCTTCCGCAGAAGCCAAAATAAGACACCAGGTGACGGCAAAGTCGCTTCATCTTTAGGTTTTAGCTCTAAGAACTTATTGGAATGATATTTTAATGTAGTTAAAAAAAATAAAACATAAGCATAACTTACATAGGAAATATGGTACTTATTGAAGTAAATAAATTCAAAAATACCCCCAAAATAAAATAAAAAAACACCATAAATGGATGGACAAAAATTTATCAAAGACAGTGATATAACATTTACAATAAATAAAAATTAGGATAACACCCGAGTCCTCTGAGCCCACATTTGTACACAATTACAGGATTAAGGGCTATAAAGTGAATACGGTTTGAGGGCTACAAAGGCATCTTAAATAATAAACTAAGTGCAATCTACTGTTGGCAGTAATATTGATTTTTCGATAGATATTTATACTGAAATATCTAAAACTCTTATATTATCAATATGTTAATTGAAAATACACAACACAGAATTTGTGGGGAAAAAAACAATTTCATAAAAGGAAGATTTTTGTAAAAAGAAATATTAAAATTGCTTTTATGAATATATAAACATCACAGACAGAGAAGGCAGCTCTGGCATAATGTCAATAACACCTCTATGAATGTCTTATTTTCATTTCTTGATTTTCATACACGGGGTAAAATGTAAACGGTACCCAAACCTACTGTTCTCACCAGGTGGAGGATCTCCAGGAGTTTGAGGGAGGTGTGCAGGAAGCAGGTGAAGATCCTCTGTTCAGAAAGGGGGATTCCCATTTTCTGCATCCGCAGTAGATACACCACCACCTCCTTATAGAGCTCCACCAGCCTCTGGAAGACCGCTGGCTCAAACCTGGACCACCAGTTTCCTTAAACAAACAAAAATATATTCAAATAACAATGGTTGTAAAAGGGCGATTGTCAGAAAAACTATCAAGAACTTGATCTTCAACACATTTGAACCCTGAATAAGCCTGGATGAATAGTACAGTATTGCAGTAATGAATTTTTGCATGCTACTTCAGTAAGTATTTGTGGGAGCAAATGGCTGGTTGCTTCTAAATGTAGGCGAAAAATGTACATGTAAAAGGGAGATTGTCAGAAAAACTACCAAGAACTTGATCTTCAACACAGATTTGAACCCTGAATAAGCCTGGATGAATAGTAGAGCATTGCAGTAATGAATTTTTGCATGCTACTACATGTGGGAGCAAATGGCTTTTAAACAATGTCACAATGCAAAAATGAAAACAAAACCCTGAAAAATCCAAAACAATAATTTTCCTTGTGCAAAACTTGATCTCATTGCTTTTTTGATCATGAGCCAGATATTTCTTGTCTACTAAATGTTCAAACAAGAAAATAGTTGAAAAAATGATCTCCAAACTTAATTTGTACTTTTTAAGAAGTTGATTGCACCTATTACAGGGGTTCCCAACCTTTTTTTTGTGTCTGAGACCCCCTTTTTAATATTTTAAGCATATTACAGATGTACCATAGTGGTTCAGGATAAGACAAAAACAAAGATTGATGGATTCATGATGAACTCCCTCATTATATCAATTTTGAACAGAAAAAAAGTTAAGGACTTTATTTAATGCTCACTGCTCAAAACCTTTCAAAATACGACACGACCCCACACAGAGCTCGCTGACGCCCCCTTGTGGGCCGCGACACCCCTGTTGGGAACCAATGACCTATTGGACACTAATAGTGCACTACACATAGTAAAAGTGGTCATTGTGTAAATGCAAAGTTAAATTCCTTTTAACTTCAAACAACAAAACTGGCTTAGTATGTAATGGTCCGACTGGTCTGGTCCAGAAGTACATTTGCGGACCCATTCATGAAAGACAGTATCTCTTTATATTAAGTATTTTTGTACACAGCCACCACATTATACAGAACGTGTCTGGTAAAATACGGTCCATTCAAATAACTCATAATTTAGCACTAATTTAATTTAACACAAGCAATGATCCAGTCAAAAAAATAAAATAAAATCAAGAATTGGTAAACATTTACTTTGGTAAAACATTCAAATATAAACATTTCACTTCCTGTTATTTTTATACAAATTGAGCAGTAAAATATATTTGATACAGAAATATCGCTAACACTTTACAATAAGGTTCATTAGTTAATGTAACACAACATTTGTTACAGTATTTCTTAATGTTAGCTAATAAAAAATACAGTTCAGTGTTTGTGCATGTTAGTTCACAGTGCAATAACTAATGTTACTAATGTTGAAATGAATATTAACTAAGATTAATAAATGCAGTAGAAGTATTGTTCATTATTAGATCATGTTAACTAATGTGTGTAGTTAACTCATGTTACCCTTATTGTAAAGTGTTAGCAAAATATTTGCTAACTCCTGATTTTGGACCAGCAAAATATCGTTCTGTGTTTTAGAAAAAGAGCCGTGACGAAGCCTCAACAAACAGGTTTGATGGTTAACAGGTTACCAAGCACTTTGATGGGGGTGTCCTTCAGGCTCACGATGGCCTTGGCGAAAGGAATGGTGAGGGTGGTGTAGTTGCTGGGGTTGTTGAGGAGCGGGCACTCGGGCAGCGTGAGGTAGAGTCTCAAAGCCTCGATGTCTGGAGGAGAACTGCTCAATCTGGGCAGGAGATGCTTCTCCAAACTAGCGGCTATCTGGATTAGGAGAACGCATGCATTGGTTACACCAGGAACGATGAGCACTTAAACGAGTAGTTCACCAAAAAATAATGCCTATGAAAATTACACTACCAGTCAAAACTTTTAGATACGCAAGATGTTTTTAAAAGAAGTCCCTTCTGCTCACCAATGTTGCATTTATTTGATAAAAAAACAAAAACAAAACAGTAATATTGTGGCATATTATTGCAATTTAAAACAGCTGTTTTCTATGTGAATATATATATAGTAAAGTGTAATTTATTCCTGTGATCAAAGCTGAATTTTCAGCATCAATACTCCAGTATTCAGTGTCACATGATCCTTCACAAATCACTCTAATATGATGATTTGATGTGCAAGACATTTTTCATTATCATCAATGTTGAAAAATCATATTTAAATTTTTATTTCAGGATTTTTTGATTTGTAGAAAGTTGAAAAGAACAGCATTTATCTGAAATATAAAAAATTCTGTGACATTAAACACTATCATTCAAAAGTTTGGGGTCAGTAAAAGTTTTTAATATTTTTGGGGGAGGAAAGAAATAAAATAAATCAACACTTTTATTCAAGGATGAACTAAATTGATCAAAAGTTACAGTAAATTTTCAATGTTACAAAAGATTCTATTTCAAATAAATCTGTTCCTTTGAACTTTCTACATATTGATAGTAATAATGAATGTTTGATCATCAGATCCTCATATTAGAGTGATTTGTGAAGGATCATGTGAGTAATGATGCTGAACATTCAGCTTTGATCACAGGAATAAATTACATTTTAAAATATATTAATATAGAAAACAGCTGTTTTAAATGGTCATAGCATTAAACTATATTACTTTTTTGTATTTTTAATCAAATAAATGCAAGAAGAGACTTCTTTTAAAAACTTTTAACTGGTAGTGGACATTGTTTTCAGTGACTCACAATCTGTGAGATTTGCGGGTAATCGGGTTGGATGAGCCTGTGGTAGAGCAGACGGGCCGTGTTAATGTCCACACCGGAGCACTTGCTGCTAGTGCTGTAGTGATCTGGATTGCTGCAAAACACAACACTCATTAGAGAAACCTGAACTATATCCACTGTACACAGTGTTTTGAATGTATAGCATCTAGTTACTGTACCTTCCAGACAGAAAACTTCCATTGAGACAACTCGCCGAGGAGAACACGAGATCAATCTCACTGCAAGAGACGCCAAAGACACATGATTAGGATGATCCGTGACCCGTATGGACCAGGCCTCACGGTTCGGCACGCATGTGATTCGTGGATTAATTGCTAAGTTTAACCATCATAGAGTGAAAGTTTATCATTTGGACGTGTTCAGTCTTGCCAATTTACACATTCAAGCAATTTTAAATGTGGAAGAAGAGGTTAAAATTGTGTTATCTGTGCGCAGCTTCACACACACACAGAGAGAGAGAGAGTTTCAGACAGCACTCAAACACCGCAGTGATTCCTCTTTCCCGTTTCCTTGCCCTTGAATGGACACATCAACACAAAATTATGTCAAAATACCCGTCTAAAAGCCCGTCTCGGCAGGATTTCTCTCAGTTCTGTCATGAGTGAACAGTTGAGAAAGAAACGGATGTTTGTCCGTTTATTCGGTCCGTGCCGTCAGTCTTAAAGAGACAGCAGCCTAATATTCCTGCTGTCATTAATGTTAATAAAACAACAGAATACAGCTTTAACAAAGATGAAAATATATTTAATTTCTACAGTATTTTATTACTGACCTATTTTATTACTAAATGTAAAGCAAAGTTACATTTACCTCTCTGCCCAAATATGTATATATATATATATACACACACACACAGGTGACACTCGAAAAATTTGAATACTGTGCAAAAGTTCATTTATTTCAGTAATTCAACTTAAAAGGTGAAACTAATATACCGGTATTATATAGACTAAAGTGAGATATTTCAAGCCTTTATTTGTTGTAATTTTGATGATTATCGATTACAGCTTATGAAAACCTTTTCACAATATTCAAATTTTGACTTGGTTTTCATAAGCTGTAATCGATAATCATCAGAATTATAACAAATAAAGGCTTGAAATATCTCACTTTGCATATAATGAGTCTATATAATATATTAGTTTCACCTTTTAAGTTGATTTACTGAAATAAATTTCAAAATAACTTTTGCAAGATATTCTAATTTTTCGAGTTTCACCTGTATGTGTATATATATATATATATATATATATATATATATATATATGTATATATATATATATATATATATATATTTTTTTTTTTTTTAGCCAAAAAATGATCAGACCCGTGGCTCAAAATCTGTAAATGATCCGAAGCGTGAGTTTTGAGTTCAGACAGCTTCATGAAGTTTTCTGATTTGAAAAAGCATACTTGGTGATTTCTGGTGACATTCTCCCCGGACCGTGATTGAGCCATTTCTGGATGATGTCAGCGCTGAGTGTGTAGATCTGTCCGTCAGGTCTGGTTATCCTCACATCCAGCGGAGGGCTGTCGTCCTACAGGAATAAAGCCGGAACATCAGCCAATGGCCAACAGTGCAAACCAACACAAACTGCACATTTTTAAAATACATTTGACAGTTTTGGACACTGACATGTCATGTGATCATGCAAAACAGAATTTCTGTGACATGAAAAATCTAAAAATCCAGATAAATACAGTATCATTAAATAAATACACACTAGACAGCTGTTCCAGTTTCATTCCAGTACATTTAATAATGATCACTGATGATGTAACCACAGGTTTATTTATAGCACTTTTCACAATCAAATCTTAATATGTCTCATCTTGACCCTTGACCTCTGCTCATACCTGAGATAAAGCGTAGTGAGCGAAGCTCTGGTCTCCTCCAGCGTAGATCCTCTTCACACAGTAACTCTGATCCGGCTCTGAAATACACAGCCCTGTCAAATCTGAAACATCACCACATGGTTTTCTTGGGTCTCACTGAACTCCGTGAATCAGAATAGCGAATCACGACAAAAGAGCGCAGCTGAATGCCGCGAAAAAACACACAAGACGCCTCTAAAACAGGAAAGAGCTTTGAGATCGACTGTATAAATAGATTTGACAAGAAATCTGAGGTCTGTTTTACAGAATGCTGAAAGCTAAAATAGAAGAAAAGAGAAATGCATGGCTGCAATTCATAGAAACAACTGGACCCAGGCAGAGAGAGGTGGATTTGCACTCAGTTATCATTTTGTGTCAATATGCTGAATTTAGGGGTAAAATCATACACTATATATATATATTGTGTTATCAGTGTTGGGTAAGTTACTCTAAAAAAGTAATTAATTACTAGTTACTAATTACCTCTTCAACAGTGTAATTAGATTACTGTACTAATTACTCTCTTTAAAAAGTATTTAATTACTTTTAATTACTAATTACTTTCAAAATCCCATATCAATCTCAACCAGCTGAATAATACAAGGATAGACATGAATCTGTTTTAATTCTTTCAAATAAATACTATGAATTATCCTTAAACTGACCAAGGTGGAGAAGGTTGCATTATAAAAACATACTTTTTAATACCAGACAACACATCTTGATGTTAAACCCACTATTGTTTTATGTCTGATCTCACGACATTTCACACTTTTTTCATACATATTTTACAATAATTCATACGAATTTGTACGAGTGCGGTCATAAAATTTTATACACCTCATAAAATGCATACGAATCGCTATGAGATCGGATTGATACACAGTATTTACCACAAATACATCAGAAGTAACTAAAAAAATTACAGATAAATTAAGAGTAATCCCTTACTTTACATTTTCAATGGAAAAGTAATTAAATTACAGTAACTAATTACTTAGTAATTAGTTACACCCAAGACTGGTTGTTATATATTGTACTGACAATTTAATTACCAAGTAATTAGTTACATAGCTGAGATAAAGCGTATGTAATACAGTAACTAATTACTAAGTAATTAGTTACTGTAATTTAATTAGTTTTCCCTTGAAAATGTAAAGTAAGGGATTCCTCTGCATTTTTATGTATTTTAATTACAGTTACTTCTGATGTAATTGAGGTAAACACTGTGTATAGATCAATTGATCTATAAAAATATAATATAGCATATTTTTGCTCACCCTCAAAATTAAAATATTATTTTTAAAATGTTTTGAGCTAGAACCTCACATACACACTCTGGGGACATCAGAGACTCATCTTTTTTTTTTTTACATTGTAAAAAGGGCATTATAGGACCCCTTTAACATAAATAAAGTGAAATACGGAGACGGGTGTCTGTCTGAGAAAGTAATTCTGTTGAAAGACTTCATGTAAACAAAGTCGACCCACCTATATCCATAGGCACGGGATCAGTATGGGCTCGCCAGCAGCCTTTCACAGGAGCGGGACTGATCCGATTGTAGGTGGAGCGGGTCCCGAGCTGTCCGTTTCCCCCGAGACCAAACGACTCGATCTTTCCTGATGAAGGGACGAACGCCAAAGTGTGCTGCCTTACATGCAGGCGAAGACAAAAGCAATTCATGTTCTTCATGATTAGAAATACATCCCATAACACTTTACAATAAGGTCCATTAGTTAATGTATTAACTCACAATGAGCAATACATTTGTTACAGTATTTATTAATCTGTGTTAATGTTAGCTAATCCAAAGACAGCTTCACAGTGCATTAACTAATGTTATAAAACGGTTAGTTCCAATCCTTGATTCTGATTGGTCAAGAGCTGTGCTTTATTCACGATAAAACACGGCAATGACCGCTTCACCCAACGGTTCTATGTATCACTGCGCCCTTAGCAACACCCTTAGCAGCCACACATATCAACCCAATGGGCAGTGAAATGCTTCGGTGACTGGTGTAGTGAAAACGGTTGCAGCATATTTTAAACAAATCACCAAGACGGAACTCAACGCACTTATCCGTGACTTCTACGGAACTGTCACGCCGGTTTCACACCGCACGCGTTAGCAGAGCGTTAATTTGGCCATGATCAATGCAATGTTGCATTAATTCAGCGTAAGCCGCGCGGCAAAAATAGAAAGAACGCCGAAACGATCGCGGCACTGCTGCTCCTGCTCTGCTCCTGCTACGCGATGCCGCGCCGCCTCTGCGTGCGGTGTGAATGCTCTAATCTGTTAACATGGGCGCCAAAAAAATACGCGCTGCTGACGCTCTGCTAACGCGTGCGGTGTGAAACCGGCGTCAGAAGCTCCACAGGAGAAAAATATGGGATCAGTAGCTATGTAGCGTTACACGCGGGTCTGAACAGATTCCTGAATGATCCACCTTTGAGTTTGTCCTGTCTGAAGAGACACAGCGAATTCACCTCATCCAATAATGTTTTCGTTGGAGTCGTAAAGACAATAAGAAGAGAGGGTCGTGATGAAACACACACCGATTTCTACTAAAGATTTCAGCACCATAAAACTGTCCGATGCGCTTTATCCCAACCTGTCACTATACCAGTCACCGAAGCATTTCACTGCCCATTGGGTTTGCTGCACGTTATTTTTTTCATTAGGAGTCTTCTCGAATGTATTACATTTCAGAACTTCAGCATGACAGTTCGTATTTGTAGAAGTCTCTCCAAATTGTTCCTCAGACCACGTATCCATCGTCATGCCACCTAGTATAAATCGAAATTTACTTGAAACATTTTAGCCTTTTTAAATTATGTCTGTGAGTGGACATAAGTGTAAAAGTAAAGAGCTACTGGAGGCCAAACTTTAAACAAAGAAAGCACTGGAGTGACATTCTTGCTGCAACAGAAAACACCGCTGACAGCGCTGAGCCCCAACTAAAGAGGAGGTTAAATATCACCACAGTGGAGCCGATTGAGTCAAATATTTAATGCGTGCACAATAAACGGAGATGTTCAAATAAATTTAAATAAACAACAATAAATAAAGTATCTCTTGTTAGGCAAAGCAACTAAATTAATAAAGACCTAACTGTTATATCAAAATATGTGCCCTTGTGTTTTTTTTTTATTATTATTTTATTTGTTAGTTTGCTGAGAGATAAGCTATGCCTATTTGTGTGAGGAAATTTCACAAATTTTGTGTTGTAAAAAAATAAAAAGAATGAGACAAAGTTTGAGAATGGTTTGTTGTTTTTATTTGAGCTTTCCTGCATATTACACATTGGAATGTTGTTGTTCACAGTCAGGGACTATTTTTTTCTTGCGGAAGGAATGTTTTTATTGATTAAACTACATTAAAAAGTTGCACTAATACATTGTTTTTTTATTGTAATATTGTGTGGCAACCGTTTTATAAAACCGTTTTACTCCGCTTCGCGTCGTGCCTAACAACGCCCTTCAGCCGTTACTTATTCACGATACAGAGCACAGCCTCTCGTACCTTATTGCTTACTTAACAAACACAACCTTTGATTTTAGTAAATGTTGAAATTAAAATAAACTATGATTAATAAATGCTGAGGAATGTTTGTTCATTATTAGTTCATGTTATGTTAATTAATGAACCTTATTGTAAAGTGCTACCACACATCAGAAGCTCATTGCTAGTCGGTCTCAAGCTTTCATATGAAACATAGACAGACATTGAGCAAAAATGAAACTATGATTGTTTATGGATTGTTTGATACTTACCTACCACAAGCGATCTGTGCAACCACATTCCCCATCAGTTCAAACACCTTCCTGGGGTTCACCTCATGGTTCGTGGTGTTGTGCCCCAGCTGACCGTAGCCACCAGCTCCAAATGTAAACACGCCTCCCTCCTGCAAAATAAAGATCACTCATTATCATATAAAGCTGTATATGCAGTAATATTGCTACAAAACGTGACTCTTATCATCCAGATTTTTATATAAAATTGAATAAGCATGTCCAACTTTATCTGCAAACATACTGATGTAAAGCGATATGCTATCGTTTTAGTTTTTTTTGCTTGTATCGTTGAATACAATGATCGAATGCATATTATAAATCAGTTCTACTCTGCTAAATGCAATTGTAAGACATTAAGATATTAAGGGTGTTTTAACACTAAAGTGAGTGACACACACACACACACAAACAGATGTGCACCAAAGGTGCTAGTGTGAAAGCACCCTAAGATATTATAAACATTAACATTATAATTTTCTGTAAATCTGCATTGAAACAGAGTGTAGTATGAAAAGTGCAATACAAATAAATTTAACTTGATTTAATTTATTCTAAACCATGGCAATTCCTTCTTCTGAATGTGCAGGATTTAATTAGGGATGCACCGAAATTTTGGCAGACGAAAATGGCCGATGAATTTTGTACTTTAATACACTACAGTTAAAACTTACTTTGTTATACTGTATTAATCTATGCTTGTTAATGTGTATTTGACACATTAATGTATCTACCCCTCCTCCTTCCCCCTCAATATGTATATTTCTTAAATTCAGTATCATTAAAATGACTGAATTTCATTTTTTTTTAAAGTCTAATATTAATACAATTAAACAAACATAACAATTTTTAAAAAGCATTTTCGATTTCGGCCCAGAATTTTTTTGGTGCATTCCTATTTCCTATATTTAATGCGTCATAATAAATTATAATTGCTTTGTAGCCATCAAACCGTATTCACTTTATAGCCCTTAATCCTGTAATTGTGGACAACTGTGGGCACAGAGGACTCAGGTGTGATCCTAATTTCTATTTATTATAAATGTTATATCACTGTCTTCGATGAAGTTTTGTCTATCCATTTATGGTGTTTTAGTTTTATTTTGGGGGTATTTTTGAATTTATTTACTTCAAAAAGTACCATATTTTCTATGTAAATTATGCTTTTTTTATGTTTTTAATTTTAACTACATTAAAATATCATTCCGATAAGTTCTTAGAGCTAAAACCTAAAGATGAAGTGACTTTGCTGTCACCTGGTGTCTTATTTTGGCTTATTTTAGAATGCTCTAAATTATAGTTTTTCCCATTCATTTCTATGGGTGCCCATTTCTGACCCAAATACAAGATTAAGGAGGTTTTTTTTCACCCACTTAAATTGAGTAAAAAAAAATTGTGTGTGTTCAGGAGGCAAACTTAGGAAAAGTAGCCAAGTCTTGTACCGCTCACATCAAGGGAAGTATTTTTTTTTAAATAAATCAAAACTACTTTTGTCCAGAATACGGTTTTAGGGTTAAGCAAAAATCAGCACACTGACACTGCTGCTTTCAAAGGATGAATTTATTGACTAGGTTTCGACCTGAAGGTCTTCGTCAGGCACCTGGATGTGGATGTGTGCACACTACTACTTTAAGCTTATTAAGCCCTTAAAATAAGCAACAAATCCTGTAAAATCAATCCACACCTTTGTTAGTGCAGCCGTGTGGTCCTCTCCACAGCATATGTAAACGACCCGTTGGGACCTGAGAGTCTTCAGCAAGGCAGGGAAATTGCGATCTGAGAAACACCACGTACTTCACTATAAAATCATTAAACCAGAGAAAGCTCAACTGAATGTCTAAGGTGTTTGTTTTACCATCATTATCGCTGAGGCCCAGCTGGCCGAACTTGTTTCGCCCCCAGCCAAAAACGGCCCCAGAGATCGTGAGTCCGAAGCTGTGAGCGCCTCCCGCAGAAATCTGGGCAAACGGGACGCCCTGCAAAGACTGAATGACTTGTGGGGTGGAAACACCCGCTCCTTGCTTCCCGAGACCCAGCTGTCCATATTTATTTTGGCCCCAGGAGAATATCTGACCTCCTTCAGCGAGAATTTGGGAAGAATGGCGCATAATTAGGGTAATTTTCAGGCGTGATAATCAGGGGCCATATTTATCAAGCCTTTGAGAATTACTCAAGAACAATGCTAAGAATGGACTCAAAGCTGCACTTGGTTATAAAGTTGGTTATTAAGCATCTCAGTCGTAATTTAAGTGAAGTGTAGGACTAAATCTTAAGAGTGATTTTTAGAGATGATCCACAACACTTTGCTGCTGAGCCACAAACGGGATTTTGGATGACGACATTGGGATGGACCAATCACTGAATAGATTTCCTTATTTAAGAATATTCAGATAAATTCACATTGAATGGTGTAATTCCTAAGAGGAGTTTACATTCAACACATATTTGACAATAAATCACTTTCAAGAGAATACATACTGATATACACATTGGAAATGAAAGATGAACATTTTCCACCATGTCTTAATTATCAATTTTAAACCATTGTGCTGTTAACTGACCTATATACACACATATATATATATATATATATATATATATATAACCAAGATTTTATGATATATTTAGCCAACATGGATTCCAAAAGAAAACACATTATAAAAATTAGTCGAACGGCAAAAATACATTATAAAAATAGTCGAACGGCAAAAACATGTTAAAAAAACTAGTCGAACGGCAGAAACACGTTAAAAAAAATTAGTCGAACGGCAGAAACACGTTAAAAAAATTAGTCGAACGGCAGAAACACATTATAAAAATTAGTCGAACGGCAGAAACACGTTATAAAAACTAGTCGAATGGCAGAAACACGTTAAAAAATTAGTCGAACGGCGGAAACACGTTAAAAAAATTAGTCGAATGGCAGAAACACGTTAAAAAAATTAGTCGAACGGCAGAAACACGTTATAAAAATTAGTCGAACGGCGGAAACACGTTAAAAAAATTCGTCGAACGGCAGAAACACGTAAAAAAAAAAATTAGTCGAACAGCAAAAGTACGTTATAAAAATTAGTCGAACGGCAAAAACACATTATAAAAATTAGTCGAACGGCAGAAACACGTTATAAAATTAGTCGAACGGCAGAAAACACGTTATAAAAATTAGCCGAATGGCAGAAACACGTTAAAAAAATTAGTCAAATGGCAGAAACACGTTAAAAAAATTTGTCGAACGGCAGAAACACGTTAAAAAAATTTGTCGAACGGCAGAAACACGTTAAAAAAAATTAGTCGAATGGCAGAAACACGTTAAAAAATTAGTCGAACGGCAGAAACACGTTATAAAAATTAGTCGAACGGCAGAAACACGTTATAAAAATTAGTCGAACGGCAGAAACACATTATAAAAATTAGTCCAACGGCAAAAACACGTTATAAAAACTAGTTGAACGGCAAAAACACGTAATAAAAGTTAGTCAAATGGCAGAAAACACGTTATAAAAATTTGTCAAATGGCAGAAACACGTTAAAAAAATTAGTCAAATGGCAGAAACACGTTAAAAAAATTTGTCGAACGGCAGAAACACGTAAAAAAAAATGTCGAACGGCAGAAACACGTTATAAAAATTAGTCGAACGGCAGAAACACATTATAAAAATTAGTCCAACGGCAAAAACACGTTATAAAAATTAGTCCAACGGCAAAAACACGTTATAAAAACTAGTTGAACGGCAAAAACACGTAATAAAAATTAGTCCAACGGCAAAAAACATGTAACAGAATTAGTCGAACGGCAGAAACATGTTATAAAATGCAAGTTCAGCCAAATCTGGGAGTTACTTAAGAATAAAACGGCACTTTGAGAAGCTTGATAAATACGGGCCCAGGTTTATTACTATAGTAAGAATCATACCTCTGGCTAAAGCAAGAGAATGCCAATATCCACAGGCCACCTGGGTAATATGAACCTCAGACAAACTCCTGACAGTTCTGAGAAGAAAGAGAAGGTTATTCCATGTAGGTCACGGACTACAGAAGTTTTTCAGTACGGCATCCATTACAGAGGCCTTTTATACTTCACAAGGTACGAGGTGAAGATTTTTTACCTGGGTACACGGAGACAATCTTCAATATTCGAAAGGCCGAGCTGTCCGTCTGAACCCAAACCCCAAGCAAACACTTGTCCTTTATCATTCAGAGCCAGAGTGTGAGATTCACCGCAAGACACCGCCACAATGTTCTGAGCATCCAGAGACACTACCTGTTCTAGAGAGAGGGTGTAAACATCACAAAGAGTGATTATACAGACGCATACACTGGGGAAACTGGCCAATGTATCGTATATTCAATATACTGAACTGCATAATCTGTATAATACGACATTCTTAATGTTCCTTAAAGTCCCTCTGTTGTGAAAATCAAGCTTTTAATGTTGTTTATGCGGTGTTTCTAAACCAAATTCATTTTAAATTCATAAGTCGACAACATTGAGTATTTTCTCCTTAAATTTGCAGTGAACCAAAGACACAAAAAACACGCTCAAAAGTCTCAAAAACACGCTTTGAAATCGCTGGTGTTTCTGACCAATCAGATCAAAGGGTGATCGTCAACCAGTGAGTGAGTGGAGGTGGTGCTCATTTGCATATTCATAGAACTGCATACTAAATGAGGGTGTCGGATTATATTCAGGGCTATTTTGAGGATATGTCATTTTGTTTGGTGATCAAAATATGAGTTTTAAGGGATACAATTATTGACTACTAATTATATTTTATTGTAATATGTTTTGATCCACTGGTATGTGAAGCAGTGATGTTAATAACGGGACCATCAGTTTCAGTGGAACATATTTCTTGATGTTTGAGGTCATTGAGTTAGAGGTCATGTGACTTCTGAGGAAATGACAGTTGCAGATGTCACACTGACCGACTAAAATGCATTTCTGTGTTATGGTATTATGATACCAAATCCATCAGATTGATTTCAGCAGATGTTATGAAAGTACAGCCTAAATCCATTGATAAAAATTGTTTTTTTTGTTTTTTTTAAAGAAATAAATAATTTTATTCTGGAAGGATAAATATTCAGTAAATGTTTCCTGAGCAGTAAATCATCATATTAGAGTGATTTCTAAAGGATTATGAGACACTGAAGACTGGAGTAAAGATGATCACAGTAATAAATTACATATTTATTATATATATATATATATATATATTTATTAGGACTGTGCAAAAATTTATTGCGATTAATCGCATCCAAAATAAAAGTCTGTGTTTACATAATATATGTGTGTGTGCTGTATATAATTATTTTGTATATATAAATACACACACATGCATGTATATATTTAAGAAAATGTGTTATTCAAATATAAATTTTTTATATTTATATAATATACGTAGATTATGTATTTATATATATATATATATATATACAGAATTTAAATGCAAATAATTCTTAAATATATACATGCATGTGAGTGTATTTATATATACAAAATAATTATATACAGCACACACAAATATATTATGTAAACACTTTTATTTCGGATGCGATTAATCGCAATTAATTTTTGCACAGCCCTAATATATATACATAAATATATATATATATATATCTATTCACACATAGAAAAGAGCAGTTTTAAATGTTAATATTTCACATTATTCCTGTTTTTACTGTATTTTTGATCAAATAAATGCAGCCTGGATGAGCAGAAGAGACTTCTTTCACAAACACTGTAACATTTTGAGTGGAAGTTTAGATAAAATGGGAAAAATTAAAACAATGAAACACTTTACTCTTCTCCAGTATATTTAAAACCTGTATTTTACTTGAGAGTTACAAAAAAAGAAGGGTGAGGCTTGCATTTCAAAAGTGGCTGTTTCATACCAGAATGAAGGAATCATCACCTAGTTATTACCATTTTAAGTCTCACTAATTTTTGGAAAATAATAGTGGCCACAGTGATTCACAGTGAATCATTCAGATAAGATCAAGAAGTCCAATTAAAAGCTATAACATTATAATGCTAGCAGACTGTCTTTGTGGCCCTACCTGGTTTCTTGCGTCCTTTGTCGTGTCCCAACTGACCCAGGTCATTACACCCGCATGTGTAAACCGTCCCGTCCTCCAGCAGAAAGACAGTGTGACGTCTGCCACATCCCACATCTCTCACACGCTTGCCCTCGAAGAACTCGCACTTGCGCGGCTCCAGCACGATCTCCTCATCAATCCCACCTAAACCGAGCTGCCCGTACGAGGCATTTCCCCAGCATAGCATGACGACGGGCCCGTGTGGCCGCTCTCTTACGCAGGAGCAGACCTACACACACACACACAATATATTTAATAAAATACAATTATTAACTTGTTGTTCATATAAAATAATGGCATTTTTAATAATTAAAAATATACTAATTTTTGAGTTTGACAACAAACACACTGGAAAACACAGCTATCAGCATAGTTAAAAACAAAATAATAATGAATCATTTCTGAACATTGACTTTCTCATCTTTTTCCTCAATAGAATTCATAAAAGTATAGAATATAATATCATATTTCTAATAGGGGCACATTGTAACGCAGTGTGACAACATGCCCCGCCTCCACAACTGGGGTTTAAACCATGCTAGTGTCTTCTGCTAGTTAGCGAAGCATTAAATAACTATATCAACTGTTAAACAACAGATTGGGGATTGAAATAATATCAGATTTGCCTAATTTAAAAAAAATGAAAAATGTACTTAAGTAAGAAATGTACTTTTGCTATGGTCAAATAAATGTTCAGTGATATTTCTTACAAAGATTTCTGAATTTTGGCGCAATTTTTTCTCTGTGAAGCGTGTTACAACAAGCCCCGCGTTACGTTGTGCCCCGCGCTCCCCTACATACAGAAAATAAAATAAAAACAATAAATGGACAAAAGGGAGGTAATGATGAAAATAGAACAAATAATAAAAAAATAATATTTACATTTGATACATATTTTTTTATAAAAATAGAAATAATCAGCTCCATGAAAGCAATATACTAAAATTTACACACCTACATTATAATTTTTACTTTAACAAATCTTATCACCATATGCACTAAACCATGATTTCTATAAGCAACTCACTATACTTTAGAAAGAATTTAGGTTTGGTTAGGGGTATAAATTGGCGTAGTATTTTTGTATTATATAAAATGGTATACCTGATTTTTCTTGTTTGATTGTGATTTGGTTTAGGCAAGTACTGGAGGTAAGACCTAATAAGCCTAGGGCTTGAACCTGGCCCCTTTCAAACAGGTTGTGCATTATGTTTTGTTTATTTTGTTATACATTTATTTCTTGTTTGAATATTTTATTTATGCGTTTCATAGTTTTTCATGTCATACTTATAGTATCTATAATTACCGGTTTGATTTGTTATCACAAATGTGATAGTTTTACTTTCATTTTCATCTTAGGTCTTTTTTAATGATACATAGAGGGCAGCAGAAAATACAGTAAAAATAATAATGGACAAAAGGGAGGTAATGATAAATAAAAATAAAATAAAAATCACTTGCATGAAAGCAATATACTAAAATGTCTAAACTTATATTTTACTTTAACAAATACCATAACCATATACTCTAAACCACATTTTCTATAAGTAACGTTAACTGACTATTCTTATAGTATATTTGATTCCCAATCACTAGGTTAAAAAACGAACTAGTTAAATAGATTAGCATGAAAGCATACAGATTAGTCCCGCCCTGCGAAGAGAAGTCGACAGAAAGCTCTCTAGAAAGTTCACTTTGTGGGAGGTGTGTGTACATAAACAATTATTGCATAACACAGCTTAGAGTTGAAGTCTATAATTAGATGCATTAAAATGGGCACTGGCACTTTAAGAACGTAAAGACACATATAGTAACTTTTCTGCACTAAAAATACCAACAAATATATGTAACACTATATCGAAGCCTGAACTGCAGATCACGTGATTCACGAGAGATTTAAATCCACTGACCATCGAACAGACACTATGACGATGAGTGAAAATTACCGTTAAAACGGTTGGTAAGAATGTCAGTTAATTCATACCGCAAACAAAGTATGTATGTATGTGTGTGTAATAATATAATATAAAATACACCTTACTGCATTTGTGACTTTAATAAGACCATAAACACATACTGCATGAATCCCAGGTATGAACACCGCTACATAAGAATATGTCTGCACACACTCCCATACAGCGTTTTGACAGCATGTGTGTGTGTTAGTCAGTCTTGAATCCTCCCTGCTCCTGTTTTATCTTACCTGTTGATTTGTAATACGATGCTCCTGTTGACGTCTCCAGCACAGGTGGAGGGCTTAGGTTTACATGAGCGTTAATGCGGATATATTCATGACAGCCGTACACGCGCTTTAATATACACACACATGAGTGAACGAGAAGCTACTGAAACATTCTAGAGGTTTTCCAACACACCGGATGTGACGACAGATGAGGAGTTCCTGCGGTGCGGTTAGAAAACACACAAAATAATAATAATTAATTAATAATAGTGAAAATAATATTGATGATGATAATAATAATAATAATAATAATAACGCGATAAAAATAATTAGCTATTTCCGTTGGGTCAGTTTTTCGGTGACATAGATCGGTGGTTTTGTTCTGGTTCTAAAGCCTGTTGTCGTCAAGAAAAGAAGAAGAAAAAAAAAACTACAACAATATTGCTTAAAAAAAAAAAAAAAAAGCCGTGGCTAACGTTTGTCTAGTCACCAGTCAGAGCCAAAGCTGGGCAATTCTTCAAAATAAAGGTCTCTAGACTATTTCAATAAACACAATTATTTGGAAAATATTGCGTTATATATATTTTGTTTCGCTCTGTACTGTTAGATATATTACTGTTATTTGTTTGTCTAGTTTCAAGATTTTTTCACAATTATTTTAATCCGTTTTTATATATTTATTTTAATCTTATTTTTAATTAAGAGACAAAAATCTCTATTATTGCAATTTCATCACTTCAAAAAAAAAAATATAAATATATATATGGTTGTCTGATAGGTAATTCGATAAGCACAAAATATTTTTTGCTTTTTTAAAATAGGTTTTGTTTTTGGTTTATGTGCTTTATAGCATTCATATTTTAAGTTGCAATGACGCATGGAACAACTTGCCCTAAAGGGATAATAATTCTCCCTGACATGGATGTATGGTATATACATGTGCCCAGAACAAAGATCAATACCAGAATGATAATTTTCCTTTTAAATGTTTCATTTAAGTCTCATTTCCTGTCATGATTTCACACATGCCTCAGTTTGGTTTTCTGCAGAGATTCATCATGTTAATGAGTTTAAACCATTAGACATAGCAAGCGTTAGAATCCAGATTAAAAGTCCAATATTCATGGAAATGCTTGATTAAACTTCATTTTTAGACATCATTTTTAACTGCAACAAATATTTACATCACTATTATAAATCAAATAGCTTTTTATTAGCATTTACTCTACAAAAACACCCTCACATATCGTGATCATCAGACCAAATGCATCAAGTTTGACTTTTCAACATCAAAATTGCAGTGTGTGATTCTCAAAACAAAAAGCTGTTGAGGTAGAACTATTCATAACGACAAAACGTTGCATCTGTAAATGTTTGTGCGAATCAGAGAAGGGTGAATTTAATAATCAATCGATACAAACCTCAGTGCAAAATGCACACCACCAAAACAAGCTACAACAGAAAAGTTGCATTTTATTAAAAAAAAAAAAAAACACTATACCAAAGTGCATTTTTAAGGTCGCAAGACAATAATAGTCTACATTCAGTGAGGTAGAGCAAAATAACACTTGCTTGTGTTGGTAAAAACAGTATTTTCTTGTACTTAAGTTTCTTCAAACTACCATGATGTCTTCATTTAGAACGATGCCTGTAAATAATAATGCTTTGAAGTAAACTTAACACAAGACAGTGTTCAGTGGGAAGTGCATGACAGCATTATAATATTGCACATTTGGGATGACTCTATTGATAGAAATCTTCACTCGAATCACAAGGATGTTGCATTTTCATGCATTCAGTAACACTGTGTGTGCATGCATTCATGTAAATGCAATGCAGTGGTAGTAGTGTCTGCAATCCCATGTTTGCACTCAATAAATACAAACTCGCCCCTGACTGTGCAGTGGAACGGTCCGCCGCTTCCCCGTCCCGTTGCGATCACCTGTCGTAGCAGGGGTAAAGAGCGCTGGCCTGGTAAGCTCTTGCAGGCACGTTCACCTTGGCATCCATGTTCTGTGTGTGTCCCAGGCCATGTATAGGCGCTGTGGATGTCAGGTATGTAGCGGGACCTTGCGCTGAAACGACGACCGGCGGGCAGTTCTGCATGTACTGTGTGTTCGGACGCTGCATGTACTGGTGCAAAGACCCGCTCTGACCCGGGACCGCATACCCCGTCTGTTGATGCTGGCATTTCTGCTTGTTTGCTTCCTTTACATCACTGTCGTGAGCACTGAGAGAGAGAGAGAGAAATATAAGGGGTGATGATGTCCAATATTTTCCATCAAATCTTTTCATTTCATTTCAACTGGGTTCGTACAGATCCTGTAAAATTAAACTTCAAGGACTTTAAGCACTACTTTTCTAAGGACTATAATCAGATATCTCGCTTAGCAAACAATACCTTTTTTATCTTTCGAATTCTAAAAAAGGTAAGTAGACAAAAAAACTATTAAAACAAAATGGCACACATAAAGTGCAGCACATGCAATGGCTGTGGTAACTTTAACCATTACTATGACTTTCCTTATTAAAACTGACTTTCTATAATCGATCAGAAGAACGAAATCTGTATCATATACTTGAATAATTAGGGAGAATGTATAATTAGGCTTGATTAATTATATTGAATACTTGACTTGAATAATTAGGGAGAATTTTTATATTACACATATGTAATATTTTTCAATATTTTTTTTTATTATTATAATATGTTTTATATTTTTATTTTACTTATTTCTTTTTATTTCTATTTATTTATTTATTTTTATTAATTTTTTTGCTATTGGATTGAGTAGGGAGATCATGTAAGGGATAAATAATGGACAATATGTTACTGTCTACTGTTTATGATGTGTTATTTTGTATTTTCATTTAAAACCAATAAAAACATTTGTAGTATATACTTGAATAATTATATGAGCAATATTACACTCATAGCCATGTGAAATGGCTCTATATCAATATCAGACGGCTGTGAAAAAAACACTTCTATCAATAAAATTAAACACTATTTTCTTATATAGCCTATTGACTTCAAATTAAGTCAAATTCGAGCACTAAAGCACCATGTACGAACCCTTTATAATACACAAGCATGCGATGCATGAGTGAGCGCACTACTGAAACGATGGAGGAACACTGCCTATTAATGCTAAATCACACATCAGTGCTTTAATTCAGCAAAACTGGGACCTTACAGAAATGTTTCAATGAGGTCAAAACACTGATATTCTCGAGTTTTAATGTTTGTGAAAAGAGTCTCTGCTCACAAAGGCTGCATTTATTTAATTAAAAATACTGTAATATTTTTTCAATATTATTACTATGTAAATCAGCTGTTTTCTCTGATAATATATATATTTATTCCTGTGATCAAAGCTGAATTTTCAGTATCATTACTCCAGTCTTCAGTGTCACATGATCCTTCTAATATAATCTCAATTTTTATTGGTGCTCAATTAGTTAATGTTTCTTATTTTCTTAATATTTTTGCTTTAAACATGATCCATTTTTTTCAGGATTCTTTGATGAATATAAAGTTCAAAAGAACAGCATTTATTTGAAATAGAATCTTTTGTAACAGTATTAATGTTTGATAAATAGAATACACCTTTTTCGAACAGAAGTATTTTTTATAATCTTAAAGTACCCAAAACTGCAAGCACGACTTTTTTTTAACATTGATAATAATCATAAATGTTTCTTGTTCATCAGATCCTCATATTAGAGTGATTTGTGAAGGATCATGTGACTCTGAAGACTGGAGTAATGATGCTGAAAATTCAGGAATAAATTACACTTTACTATATATATAAAATATATTATAAATATTGTATATATATATATATATATATATATTGTAATTATATATATATTATAAATATTATATTATAAAATATAGAACATATAAAAATACTGTGTTATATTTTTATAATACAGTATTTTAATCAGCCTTGATGAACAAAAGACACTTTTGAAAAGCTGAAACTCACATTAGCAGTCTCTCGACGGCGGGCAGAATCTGGTCCCAGGTGTACGCAGACAGACGCTGGAGACGCGGAGGCCATGACGGAGACAGACGCAGGATCACCCGCGAGGACGACACACACGCCGCTGCAACCAGGGACGGCACGAACCGCAGAAATGCATGGTCTTCACACAGGGAAGAAAGTTTTTTTCTTCCATTAAAAACACAAACATTCTGATTCTGCAGATCATGTAGTTCATATACAGGTGAAAATGCAATGCATGTGAATTTATGTCATAATCGTTTGTTAACAAACAAGACTTCATTAATACATTTTTTACTAACTGTGATTTGCTGAAATGCACATGTTTCCTCTGATAACAGATCACTCTATTGTAATGTGGACTCGTGCATTTTCTGTAAAGCTGCTTTGAAACGATGTGTATTGTGAAAAGCGCTAAATATGAATTGAATTTGAATATTTTAATTATTGTGTTAAATATTAAGTATATGATGAAAAAACAAGCTATATTTTACGTAATGCATTTGTTTAATCTTTTTGGAAATATGGTTATCAAGCGAACATTTTGTGTGTGTGTGTTTGAAACGATGTGTATTGTGAAAAGCGCTATACAAATAAATATGAATTGAATTTGAATATTTTAATTATTATACGATGAAAAAACAAGCTATATTTTACGTAATGCATTTGTTTAATCTTTTTGGAAATATCAAGCAATCATTTTGTGTGTGTGTGTAGTGTGCATTTTCTGTTAAGCTGCTTTGAAACGATGTGTATTGTGAAAAATCGCTATACAAATAAATATGAATTGAATTTGAATATTTTAATTATTATACGATGAAAAAACAAGCTAATTTTATGTAATGCATTTGTTTAATCTTTTTGGAAATATGGATATCAAGCAATCATTTTGTGTGTGTGTGTTTGAAACGATGTGTATTGTGAAAAGCGCTATAGAAATAAATATGAATTGAATTTGAATATTTTAATTATTATATGATGAAAAAACAAGCTAATTTTATGTAATGCATTTGTTTAATCTTTTTGGAAATATCAAGCAATCATTTTGTGTGTGTGTGTAGTGTGCATTTTCTGTAAAGCTGCTTTGAAACGATGTGTATTGTGAAAAGCGCTATACAAATAAATATGAATTGAATTTGAATATTTTAATTATTATACGATGAAAAAACAAGCTAATTTTATGTAATGCATTTGTTT